ATTTGTAAAAATTTTCCCGTATTTATAGACAAAAAATATGTCTGTTTTAACTATATTTAGTACAAAAATTTAAATTATGACAAAACAATTGCATGAAAAGAATTTACGAATATATTTTTGTGATTACGTGCACGCAAGCTGTTGCGTGCACGCCAACTGCATGCAGGCAGCTAAAATAGCTGCTTGCACGCAACAGCTTTGTAGCTTCCTCCCTGCACAGCAGGCAGCTTTAATTTGAAATCAAAATTTTAATTTTTTTTAATTATTTTTATATATGCTTGACACAGGCCGAAGCCCCCAAATGGGGCTCGTCCCGAACCCTGAGCCATGCGAGCCTCCGAACTTTTTTGCCACCGCTAGAGTAGAGTCTCTCTAGTTAGCCTGACCGAAATTTACATCTCTTGTTGTATAGGTTATTCCATCTTTTTACTATTTGAGATTTTGTCAAGAAATGGAACATTAATTCGAGATTTTATAGTGCATTAAATAATGAAATTGATAAAATTAGTATCTCAAAATAAATCTAAATTTACCACAAAAGATATTTTTATCGAGTTCTCAATTTAGTCAAGGATTTCATTGATGAAACTAAGTGCATGTTTAACGCCCATTAATTTATTTTAGGAATAATTGCAACTGAGACTCCAAACCTTTCAAACGGTGGCAAACTTTCTCCTAATATTTCGAATGTTGCAGCTGTCACCTCAAACCTTTCAAATCGTAACAGTTGAGACCCTAATAGATGGTTTCCATCCAATCCGTTGTTAGTTGATCCAAAAAAATAATTTTGACCACATTTTAATCAATTGTAAAAGGGCAAAACAGTAATTTAATATCTTTCCATAAAATAATTCAAAACCAAAAAAATAAAATAAAATAAAATAAAATAAAAAGGAAAAAACTATCTTCTTCATCAATCCTCAACCCCACCCCACTCCAACTCCCTCAACCAAAAACTAGAAATTTGCCATCGCCATCTTCATCGACCACTGCAGCAACAATCACGAATGTCAAGCACATTACCCAATTGCTCTTAATTTCTCATAAAATTCCAAATTCACCACCGA